GTGTCTAATGTCTGAAATTTTGTTGCCTACAGTTTCTTCTAGGATTTTTATGTATCCATGAGTCACATTTAAGTCTTTTATCCATTTTGAGTTTATTCTTGTGTAGGGTGTAAGTTGATGCTCTAGTTTCATTTTTTTGCATGTGGCTGTCCATTTTTCCCAACACCATTTATTAAAGAGGCTGTCTTTACTCCACTGTATGCTCTTGCCACCTTTGTCAAATATTAATTGAGCATATTGTCTTGGGTCCATTTCTGGGTTCTCTATTCTGTTCCATTTGTCCATCTGCTTATTCTTGTGGCAGTACCAGGCTGTTTTGATTACAGTGGCTTTGTAGTATAACCTGAAATCTGGTAATGTGATCCCTCCAACTTTGTTCTTTTTTTTTTTTCAAGATTGCTGTGGCTATTTGGGGTCTTTTTGGGATTCATATGAACTTTTGAAGTATTTTTTCTAGTTCTGTGAAATATGTCATTGGTATTTTGATGGGGATTGCATTGAATCTATAGATTGCTTTGGGTACTATGGACATTTTAATGATGTTAATTCTCCCAAGTCATGAACAAGGTATGTGCTTCCACTTTTTTATATCTTCCTCTATTTCTTTTTTCAATGATCTGCAGTTTTCAGCAAATAGGTTCTTTATTTCTTTGGTTAAGTTTATTCCTAGGTATCTTAATTTTTTGCCAAGATGGAAAATGGGATTGTTTTTTTAGTTTCTCTTTCTGTGAGTTCATCATTGGTGTATAAGAATGTCAATGGTTTCTGGATGTTAATTTTGTATCCTGCTACTTTGCCAAAATCATTTATTAAGTCTAGTAAATTTTTGATGGAGTCTTTGGGGTTTTTTACGTATAGTATCATGTCATCAGCGAATAATGACAATTTTACTTACTCCTTTCCAATTTGGATCCCTTTTATTTTTTCTTCCTGTCTGATTGCTGTGGCTAAGACTTCCAGTAGTATGTTAAATAAGAGTGGTGAAAGTGGGCATCCTTGCCTTGTTCCTATTCTTAAGTTTTTGCCCATTGAGTATGATATTGGCTATAGGTCTTTCATATATGGCCTTTATTATGTCGAGATATGATCCCTCTATTCCCAGATTGCTGAGCGTTTTTATAAGAAATGTGTTGGATTTGTTCAAATGCTTTTTCAGCATCTATTGATATGATCATATAATTTTTATCTTTCATTTTGTTTATGTGGTGTATCACATTTATTGATTTGCGAATACTGTACCTTGCATCCCTGGGATGAATCTCACTTGGTCATGGTGAATAATTTTTTTGATATATTGCTGTCAGTTGTTATTTCTCCTCTTTCATTTCTGATTTTGTATATTTGGGTTCTCTCTCTTTGTGACTTGGTGAGTCTAGCTAAGGGTTCATCAGTCTTGTTTATCTTTTCAAAGAACCAGCTCTTTGTTTCATTGATCATTTCAATTGTTTTCTTTGGTCTCCATGTCATTTATTTCTGCTCTGATCTTTAATATTTCCTTTCTTCTACTTGCTCTAAGGTTTTCTTTTTGTTTGCTTTCTAGTTCTTTAAGTTGTGAGGTTAGATAGTCTTAGAAATTTTGCTTGTTTTTTGAGGTAGGCCTGTAGTGCTATGAACTTCCCTCTCAGAACTGTTTTCACAGCATTCCATGGATTTTGTGTTGTTGTGTATTTATTTTCATTGGTTTCTAGGAATTTTTCAATTTCTACCTTGATCTCCATGATAACCCATTCATTGTTCAATAATATGCTATTTAGCCTCTATATTTTCAAATATCTTTGCTTGTTCTTATTGCAGTTGATTTCTAGTTGCATGCCATTGTGATCTGAGAAGATGCTTGCTATGATTTCAATCTCGTTAAACTTGTAGAGACTTTGTTTGTGCCCTAACATGTAGTCTATCTTTGAGAGTGTTCCATGTGTACTTGAGAAGAACTTGAATTATGCAGTTTTGGGGTGTAATTCTCTGTAGATATCATTTAGAGTCTGTGTTTCCTTGTTAATTCACATTTACAGTGATAATTGATATGTACATATTTATTGTCATTTTTCTTTGTTGTGGTCATATCTTTTTTTCTGTTTCTTCTACTAATTACAGCAGTTCTTTTAGCATATCTTGCATTGCTGGTTTGGTGTTAATATATTCCCTTAGCCTTTTTTTTTTTCTTCTGGAAAACCTTTTATTTGACCTTCTATCATGAATGATAGCCTTGCTGGAAAGAGTAGTCTTGGATTCAAATCCTTGTTTTCCATGACCTTGATTACTTCATGTCACTCCCTTCTGGCCTATAGTATTTCTCCTTAGGATTCAGCTGAGAGCCTTACAGGGTTTTCTTTGTAGGTAACCTGTTGCTTATCTCTTGCTGCCTTTAGGATTCTCTCTTTGTCTTTAATTTTTGGCATTTTAATTACTATGTGTCTTGGTGTGGGACTGTTTGGGTTCTTCTTACTTGGGGCTCTCTGTGCTTCTTGAACTTGAATGCCTCTTCCTTCACCAAGTTAGGAACATTTTCTGTCATTATTTCTTCAAATATATTCTCTTTCCCTTGCCCATTTTCTTCTTCTTTGGGGACTCCTATGATGTGAATGTTATTACGTTTTCAGTTGTCCCACAGTTCTCCTAAGCTATCTTCCTGTTTTTTAATTGTTTTTTTCCTTTTGGTTTTCTGCTTGGTTGATTTTTTCTACCCTGTCGTCTAATTCACCGATCCAGTCCTCAGCTTCCTCTACTCTGCTGGTTAGTACTTCCAATGTTTTTAATTTCTGCTATGTCATTCTTCATTTCCACTTGTTTGGTTTTCATTGTTTCTGTATCTTTACTCATGGTGCTGATGTCCTTACTCATGCTGTTGAGCTTCCTCAAGATCATGGCTCTGAACTCCACCTCTGATAATTTGCTTAACTGCATTTCATTGATCTCATCTTTGATAGATTTCTCTTATTCTTTCATTTGGGATTTGTTTTGTTGTTTCACCATTTTGGCTATCTCAATGTGTTTTGGAGACTGCCAATTTTCCCTGTGGGTGTTGGTGTTCTGGTGTTTGTGGCTCCTTCTACTGGGTTTGGATGAGCCAGGGTGGGCCCACATTAAACACCACTGTCAATCTTACTTTCCTGAGTAGTTTTGCAAGCCCAGGAAAGGTTTAGTTATCCTCTAGCTTTTTCCTGGAGGCTAGTAGTCTCAGTTACTCAGTGCCTTGGAATGTAGCCCTGGTTTTCTGCATAAGAAGATTTCCAGAGGGTGGAATTGATGCTGGTTATCAATGAGCCTCAATTCATTTCTTTGTCTCACCTGGGAAAGGTTGAATCTTTGAGGGGTGGGGGGGCTGCTGCTTTTCCCCACAGCTTTGGGATGGAGCACACTAGCCACTGTCCTTTGTGGTCGCAACTCAGCAAAAACTGTGAGTGCCCTCCAAATCCCGGGTGTCCCCATGGAGTTCCAGCCCAGTCTGCCCTCCCTATTTCAGAGTCCCAGGCGAGCGGCTGTGGCTATTTTAGCACCCTGTTTGGGCTCTCTGTGCTGTGAAGAGGGCTTGGTCTTTATTCCTCAAGGGTGTTGCTCACAGCTAAGATTGCTGGTGTCTGTGGGCTCCCAGCCTGCCACCCTCTCGTGCCTCCGCAGATCCTACCAATGTCCCTGGTTATATGGTCCTGTCCTACTGCTTTTCTGTTCCTTTTTCCTGAGGATTTGTTTTTATTTTAGTTGTAATTCCTGTTTGGAGGAGATTGTCTGTGCAACTTCCATTCACTCTGCTTCCATTTTCCCATCCAACAAGTAATTTTCTAAATGTGTTTGAAAAACATTCCTCTGTTCTGAACTGTTTCCAAAATGTTATTTTTTTCTATAAAAATGAGAAATACATCTATTCAATAAATATGTACTGTTCTCCTGTTATGTTGTCGGGTTTTTGTCTCAAAGAGCTTAAAGGTTGTGATAAGGCCCACAAATGCACGAAAATGGAGGTTGCAGTTGGGTAACTGTTGTCTTGGGTATATAAATACCACATACTGGGCATGTGTATCGTGGATGGGGTGACCAGATCCAATGGGAGTGAGCACAGTGAACAGAGTCTTAAAATAATGACAGAAACTAGGAAAACAAAGTCAATAAAATAATTTTAAGCAATAGATTAAGTGAGGAGAGACATGTCAAACAAGGAAAGAAGAGTAATTTTTGTGACTGGAATGCAAATAAGGTAGAAAATGACGTCTTAGAATGAGGAAGAGTTGAGATCACAAGCAACCAGTGTGTTAACCAAGAGGTTCGACCCCAAAACGAGGGGAGACCAAATGAAACCAAACCGCACAAGAACTTTAGAGGAATTCCCTGAGATAATTTATGTTTTAGAAATATTATTTTAGCATTATTATGGAGGATATAGTAGAGAAACTAAGCATAGAGTCAAGCACAGTAATCAGAAGGTTATTGCAGCAATCTGGAAGAAAATTAATGTGAATCTGAGTTAAGACAGATAGATACATTGTCATGAGAAGAGGGAAGTATAAAAGACAACAGAAGTACGGAACCTTTGAAATTTTGTGACTTCCATGGATCATCTGTCCTGTTTTTTCCCCTTCGGAATTTACAGGGAGGTGTTGTTTGTGTTATTTCTTTAATTATATTCCCACTTCTTGATTCATATGTAGCCAAGCTTTAAAAAACATGAAATGCTACTCTTTTCATAGTCGCCAAATTGTACATAGCAGTCCACTTGAAACTGAAACTTTTAATCACTTAGTACACACTCTGCCTGCATAACAGTGCTCAACATTATAATCCCCCAGTTATTACAAGATTTGTGCTGTCTTGGTTACATTTACACTTCAATTACAATTACAATGCTTTCATCTCAACAGCTTCTGGTTTCTGAAGGATTAAATCTCAAGGATTATGTTATAATAAGAACAAAGGTTACTGACTACTTTTCTCATTTTGTTCTGAAATGCTTTGCTAGCTAAATAAAAGTGAAACCAAATTTATGCCAAGGTCTTTTCTCCCTGCAGGAACACATAATGGAAGTGATGAGAAACCAGGAGTTTTTACTGCTTCCAGCTGAGGAGCTCCATAAACTCCTGGCCAGTGATGATGTAAATGTTCCTGATGAAGAAACCATCTTCCATGCGTTGATGATGTGGGTCAAATATGACATGCAGCGGAGATGCAGTGACTTGAGCATGCTTCTTGCCTTTATAAGACTGCCACTGCTTCCGCCACAGGTAATTGTGATGCTGTTTTAATAGCTACAATGTACTGAAAATCCTATATTACAAGTAACATTCCATCGTTAAAAAAACAATAAAAATAACTTTAAAAAGTAAAAAAATATATTCATAAAGCATTATGGAATATAATAATGTTCAATAAATATGTATTATGACATATGTAAACATACACTACACACACACACACACACACACACACACACATACACATTTGAAGGCACAAGGTCCAACCATTTTTTTTTTTTAATCCTCACCTAAGGATATTTTTACATTTATCTTTCAGACAGGGTGTGAGGGAGGGAGAGAGAGAGAAACATCAATGTGAGAGAGACACACTGATTGGTTGTCACCCGCACGGCCCTAACCAGGGCTGGGGATGAACTGCAACTGAGGTATATACCCTCTGGCTGGAATTGAACCTGGGACTCTTTGGTCCACAGGCCGATAGTCTAACTGTTGAAAACTGGCCAGGGCCCAGTCATTTTCCAAACTAAGATTTATTACCATTTTTTTTACACTTGTTCATTTATTCAAGAATATCACAACCCATTTATTATTATTTCTTTCCTTTTTTTTTTTTTTTTTTAGTTTTAATCAAATACTCTTTTAAAGGTAAGTTTGGTGGTGGAAAAATGATGGGTGATGGCTCATGAATCTGAATCCTATCTCTGCCACTTATTCATTCATGTTCATATGACATGAGAATAGTACTTAACTTCTCTGATACCTAATTTTTTCACGTGTAAAATAAAATGTACTACCACATGAAAGTTTTGTAAGGATCAAATTACATAATACACGTAAAGTACCTAATCTCAATACAGTATCTAGAAGATTTTAAAACATTGCAGTTACTAATTTCCTGCTTTGCTGTTTTGAGGATTGATCTCTATCTATTATCTATCTATCTATCTATCTATCTATCTATCTATCTATCTATCATCTATCTATCATTTATCTATTCTAAGATGTACTAATATAATCATTCTCTGATGTAAATACTATCATATGGCATTTTTTAAAGGCTCAATGCATGAGATTTCAAGTCTCAAGTAAAGAGATAAATAAGACATATTGCTGAACAGTAGAGAGTTATGAAGTAACAGCATTTAAGCAATTGGCATTATGGAGTCTTAAAATTGGGGCTAAGGAGACTCCAGACACCAAGAAAACCAACTCTCTCCTTTTATTGGTGTTGTACACAGGTGATTTGATAAGAACACCTAATTCACTCTACTTGTGAGAAGAATAACTTTTTTCTCTGATTTTGAATCTTACATCTAAAAACTAGCTAAAAATGTTACATAATTATCTATGCCCAGGATATTAACTTGGGGGTTCTGGTTTCTCAGGCTATCCAGAAATAAGCATGAAGGTAGTTCTTACGTCTGGAATGATAGATAAAATTGCATGCATACATTATACATAGGGAATATGGGGACCTATAACAGCACCTTGTCCTTTATTTGCATCTAAACCACCATCAACACTTCTAATCCATGTATTACTAAGAATGAAAGATGGAATGAGGACATCGGGAAAGTATGACAGGCAAGCCTGACGTATTAATAACGAGGGAAGAACTGAGAAGTATTGTCATGTTTTGAAAATATGGAAAGTTTAAGAAAGCACCACTGTACAGTTACTGAGAAGACAAATGGAGCTTTATAATGAAAGTAATCATTGTGTTTCATTTGGCTCCTGAAATGAATAACGGAGTGAAAGCAGAGAGAAAGAATGTCTGCCAGGCCTGCCTAAACAAAACACGTGAGCTTCTTTTACAAAAGGAAGGAAGACGTGCATTTATGTAACTGAACAAAGAATAAACTGTGGAGCCAGGCACTGGATTTTTCTGTATCTTCCACTCTAGGTTCTGATGCCAGATATAGTCAGAGCCAGGGCATTCTCTCTCACGATAGAAATGGTCAATGATAACTATTAGCCAATAACTAGTAGTAGATAGCCATTATCCAATGATAGATGCTGTGAAAATTGACCTCAGTTTGTTGAAATGTGAGGAGCTAGCAGTAACTGGGGCTCAAAAATCTTCATAAATGGTAGGATACATACCAGAGGAGGCCCAGGATGTAGCCAGGGCTCCATCTTTTCATGATATGCCTTTCCTTTATCACCTTCCCCACTCTTTGGTCATCCAAAGGGAGAGATGTTCCTACCTGTCCATCTCATTCAAACTGTTGCATCAGAACAACATGAATTACTGGCTTATTTGTTGCTCAGGCTACGCATTACACATGGGGTTTTCATTCTTAGTGGTTCAGCTGCAATATCTTTCTTAGTACAATATATTTGTTACCATTAGAAAATAAAATATTTCTTTGCTTTGGTGTAACTAGTAAGGCTTTTAAGTTCACTCGTACAATTTTCAGACAGCATAAACATAGCATGCAGTCAATTCTTCATTCCTTATTTCTCAAATCGGGGTCATTACAAACATACTTTATATATGCTTTCAAACAACAAATGTACAGGAGGAAAAAGCAAAACATTTTCTTTTCATAAAATGTCCTTGGGTATTAGTGGAGCTACTGCTTCCATAACTAACATTAACGAATTGCTTGTCATTATGGGTATTTTCCACACAACATTTCTAATCTTGAAAACACAGCTGCAAGGTAAGGATTATTAATTATGTTGTACAGAGGGAAAAACAGGTTCAAAGAGGTTTTTCAAAGGTCATAGAGCCCGTGGAAAATTCCGTTTTTCTGCAAATCTGGCTGGCCGGATATGAGCACACACACAGAGACTGTTCTGTGATTTTATGTTGCTTTACCTGTTTGCTCTCTAAACCAGAAGATCATAAAAATGTCCTGAAAATGGCAATTTTGAAGGTTCCCATAAAAAACTGGAAAAGAAAGAAGAGCAGAAGAACAGGGACTAATGTGCACTTATTTATTATATTAGCTACAAAACAGACAACATATATTTCATCCCATTTAATTTCTATAACGTCTTTCTGTATCAAATGTGATCATTACCATTCGACAATGAGCTAGTTGAGAAACAGGGTGATAGCGTGCTTTCTACCAAGTTGCACAGCTCCGGTTTTACCCTGTTTACACAGGGTGGGGCAAGAGTCAGGTTACACTTGTGAGTATGCAAAACACCGAGTTATCAATAGCATTTTACCCACAGTAGAACTTCTTTCAAAACTGGAGTCAATTCTCCCATACTCTGCTGCTACTGATTTACCAACTAAGCCTATATACTACTTTAAATTCTTTGTTGTCATTTCAACAATCTTCATAGCATCTTCACAAGCTGTAGATTCTATCTCAAGAAGCTGCTTTCTTTCCTCAACCATAAGAAGCAACTGTTCATCCGTGAAAGTTTTTTCATGAGATTGTAGCAATTAAGTCACATCTTTAGACTCCACTTCTATTTCTCTTAACATTTTCAACAAGACTTTCTCTACTGAATTAATGAACCCTTCAAAGTTATCCATGAGGGTTGGAATCAGCTACTTCCAAACTCCTGTTAATGTTGATATTTGGAGCTCTTTTCTCAATCACAAGTGTTTTTAATAGCATCTAGAATGGTGAATCCTTTACAGAAGGTTTTCATTTGTTTTGCCCAGCTCCAAAGGAATCACAATCTATAACCTTACAAAATGTTTTTTAACAATAAAACTTGAAAGTCAAAAAATTATTCCTGATCCATTGACTGCAGATTGGATGCTGTGTTAGCAAGCATGAAAATAACATTTATCTTGCTGTATATCTCTATCAGGGCTCTTGGGTGACTGACCAGGTACATTGCAAGTGAGCATTCATATGTTGAAAAGCATCTATCTTTTTTTCCGAGTAGTAAAGTTCAACACTGTTGTTTAAAATATTCCGTAATTCATGTCATATCTAGATGTGCTGCCATCCGGACTTCGTTGTTCATTTATAGGTACATATTTATTTATTAGTTTGTTATTTATTAATTTTTCTTTTTATTGAATTTATTGGGGCGACATTGGGTAATAAAATTATATAGATTTCAGGTGTACAGTTCTATAATACATCATCTATATATTGTATTGTGTGTTCACCACCACAAACCAAGTCTCCTTCCATCACCTGTTATGCTCCCATAACCTCTTCTACCCCCTTTTCTCTGGTAATCACCAAACTGTTGTCTGTGTCTATGATATTTTTTTTGTGTGTTTTATTTCTTTAACTCCTTTACCTTTTTTACCCAGTCCCATAACCTCCCTCCCCTCTGAAAACTGTCATCTGTTCTCTATGAGTTTATTTGTATTTTGCTTGTTTGTTTCTTTTGTTTATCTGACTGCACATATGAGTAGAATCATATGGTACTTGTCTTTTTTTTTGACTGGCTTATTTCACTTAGCATAATGCTCTCTAGGTCCATCCCTGCTGCCGCAAAGGGTAAACTTTTTTCCTTTTTACAGCTGAATAGCATTTCATTGTGTAAATGTACCTTAGCTGTTTTATCCACTCATCTGCTGATGGGCATTTCATAACCCTTACAAATGAATATGGGAAAAACAATTCATCAAACATTAGCACAATCTATTACCAGTCTTTGTTACTTTTTCATTTTGTTTTTTGTAATGACTTTTCCTCAATTTGCTTGCTGCCTGATTAATTATTGATTAATACCAGGCCATCATCAAAGAGATGGTCTTCTCCACAAAACTAGACTGTAAGAGTTTTTTAAATAATTGTGGAATAAGTGTACTCTTCTCTAAAGAAACCTTTAAACACTAGCTTTAAAACATAAATTTATAGTCAATATATGCTTCTAAAATCTTAAAAAATCTCTCTTAAATACTACTTATTTATTTTTATCTTTATTGTTGAAAGTATAATAGGTGTACCTCCTTTTCCCCCCATTGCCACCTCCCTCCCTGCTCCTGCTCCCCGCACACACTCTTGTCTGTGTCCATCTTAAATACTATTTAGATTCATGACTATATAACCCAATATGATGTTCAAAGTTCAAGTTATAACATTAAAAAAACACAC